TGTCGAATTAGCGATGCCCGTCCGTCTGTCCTTCTGTGGCAATCACTCTAGCTTTCGAACAAAATGAAGTGGGTTGATAAAATTTTACTCAAATGTATATTATGTCTGCAGGACTTTTGGTATTGAAAATGTACGTCCACGTTTTGGTACAGTCCCCATAAAACCGTACCTCCCGATATTCGGTATTTTGGTGATCTAGGCGGCATTATTCACCGGAAATGTTTTAAATTTGGAATTTGAAGTTTGTAATGGATACTAGAGCCTAAGACAGAAAATTGTCTGTGCAGGTCCACACCTTCGTGTAGCCCCCATATAACGGCACCTTCCGATATTCGGTATTTGTATTATTTTAGCGACATTATTCATCGGAATTGTTTCAAATTTGGTTTTTGAAGTTCGCAATGGTAATACAGCCTAAGACAGAAAATTATCTTTGCAGATCCACGTCTTTCTATAGACCTCATACAATGGTACCTCTCTTTATTCGGTATTTTGATGATATTCGCGACATTATTCACCAGAACTGTTTCAAGTTTCGTCTTTAATGTTCGAAATCGTTACTACAGCCTATGACAAAAAAACTACTTGTGCAGCACCACGTCTTTGTATAGCTTCCATACGAAGTTTTTCGTTTGAGAGGTATTTTATAGCGGATTTTTTTTGAACATTTTCAAGTTTCTTCCGAATAGTGTGGGGTACAAACGTTCGGTCCGGCCGAACTTAGCTGCTTTTTACTTGTTTATTTTATAAACTCGTTCCAGTTGGCACGACTATTTCCGCTTTAAAACCAACCCAATTGTATAATAAAAATACACTTGTTGTTGTTATATTTTATAGTATATATTTTTCGATTTCGTCATCGTTTATTTTCATTTTTTCGGGTTTGTCTCCTTTTTGATTAAACAACTACGGTTCTTGTTTTTTTTTCTTTTGGTTTGTGAGTAAATCAAAATTGTTTGTTATTAAACATTAGTTATTTCTATTATTCTCTTTTTTACAAACTTAAAATTAATGGTTGTTTTATTTTTTTTATTAATAATAATTAATAAGTTTACTTTGTTTCTTCTTTATTATTATCCTTCATATCAATAATAGTTTTGTAGTAATATTTGCTTAAAGTTGTTTGGTTTAGGTTTGGGGGGTGGAGAAGGGGTCAATGAACATTCCCTATCATATCATCTCATCTACTGGTCGCAATACACATTACACATATTGTCCAGTAAATGTTCTGAATCTTATATTAAAAGTTTTGTTGTTGTAATTTATTTATATATAGATTTGTACAAAATATTCATAATTCTTTGGGGGATGTGATTTGTAATTTTCAGGATTTATTTGTAATGAAAACATCTACAAAATATATAGGTATGTGTGGGGAGGGGGCTTATTAAATTATTTATGATCAAGAACAGAAATGAAACAAAAACGATTTTATAACTATTTTTTTTCTTTATTTTTTTTTTTTCAAATTACTAATTGTTGTTGTTCTTCTTCTTGTTGTTGTTATTTTGTATTGTATCAAGTTATATAAAAAATATATATGATTTATTTATATTGATTAAATCGTATATATAGGTATGCATGTATGTATAATAATTATCCTAAAAAATGTTACTATACAATTTAACAATATCTCATTTCATTATATTAGTTGTTTTTTGTTTTCTCTTTGCAATATTCTTTTGTTATTACTTTTTGTTGTTGTATTCTTTTTGAGTTGTATGTTCCATTACTGTCGTAAGCGAGATTGCGCAATTTAATTTGATTTCTTTTCTATCAGTTACAATTTAATTGTTTCTTTTTTGTTTTTATTTTAAGGTATTAATCAAAATAATAAAACACATGCTATAGAATTTAAAATAAAACAATCAAATACAAATTGCAATTAATTTCTTTGGAAATTTGTGCCAATAACCATAAAAAATCAAAATTGCAGAGACAGAGAGAGAGAGAGAGAGAGTTCAGAGACAATGTCCCAAACGGTTTCCGACTAGGCAGCTATGCGTTCTTGAACCTATAAGGCAGCTCCATGTCTTTTCAACTAACCTGAAGATCAATAATATCAGATTATATTGCATTGGGAAATTATGTCATGTGAATTTTCCAGGGAGTTGATAGAAGTCACTGGCATGTCCGAATGTTATAGAATATTTTGAAGGAATTCCAAGTCTTTCGGAAGCAATAATAATGCCAAGAAGAACATTTTGTTGTGATTAATAATTTTAAAGCAATTTAATCTCCAGGATCAGATGATGATTTTATCCTTACTCTAATGGAACATGCATATATATCGCTTATTTTTCGTTCTGTAGAGAGGTGTCGCTGTTATTCATATATCACATGCAGCTGCACGAGAGTTGGCAATTGGTTCACTCGGAGACCTTTAGTGCATTGTTTGTATCCAATGACCAATAAAGTTGTTAGTGATAGGTGAGATATACCAACGAGAACAATTAAAAAAGCTGTAAGTTCGGCCGGGCCGAACTTTAAATGCCCTCCACGATTTGGAACGAATTTGGCAATTTTCAAAAATACAATCCGTTAAAAATTCTGTTAAAATCTTAAAAATACCGAATGTAGCCATTATATTAGGGTCTATATGACGACGTGGCCCTGGTGCCTATGGCTTTTTGTCATAAGCCATTACAATATTCAAATGCGAAACTTGAAAAAAATTCGGTGAATAATGTGGTGAAATCATCAAAATACCTAATATAGGGAGGTACGATTGTATTGGGATTATACGAAGACGTGGTCCTGCACAGACAATTTTCTGTCATAGGCTCTAATATTCATTACGAACTTCTAATGCCAAAATCTATGTCTAAGATGAACCTGCCAAATAGCATACGTCTCTTGTTGGATGACATTGGGACATCTGGTAAATGGTCTCTACCTTTTGTCCGTCTTTACATAGTCTACTGTAGTCAGGAACACTGCTATTTCATCTTGAAGTCAGATATCTGCAGTGGTCAGTCAGCATGCCTACTAAAGTAGCCGAGATTACCGGATAAATGGCCTTAGATACCCTGTAACCGGTTTCCAAATGCTAGTTTCTTCAAGCTTAACCTAATAGAGATTTTTTTGAACCAATAATATAAAATAAATCTCGTCCTTTCTATGGATTCTGAAATTTTTACATTCGATCTCACTTTAATGGAGTTTGTTCGCTGCTTCTTTTGCACTGGAGGTTACTATGTCCATGAAGCTGGCAAATCAATGGCCAGATTGCCTTGAATGTCAGAATTCATGGAGGTTACTATGACTAGGAAGCTGGCAAATCAATGCCTTGAATGTCTGAATGTATGGGTCGAGGGGCACATAATACTGACCGCGATCCAAGTTTCAATGGCTTAAGCATGCTTAAGTCGTTCATGCAAGCCTGCAATAAATTGAAAACTAAGAACAAGTTCCTTAAGGGGCTGGCCAGCATCCCTTGGGCCACGAATAAGGATACCTTGTTGATCTCTTTTATAGCTATGAATTGGACGGTCTGTGGTTAGCTATGCTCATATGCAATGGAAAAGCATTCAATCCTGCCTGAATGTCACCCTTAGAACGGAAACAGGTTGACTCCTTATGACACTCGTCATGAGGAGACGAAGATCTCACCGGCACAACTTTTGCACTCTTGAGTCCCAGCCATCTCAAACACCATTTGGTGGATGGGCAGCCTTGGTTCAGGCATGTAGGAAAAGATCTTGATGATTTAGAGAATCCAGATGTAGAATAGAGAGTCTAGATCAACAGGCCTATCAAGCGGGACTGTATAGTTTTCACTCTCGGCGGGGCCGACTATATGATACCCTACAACACTATTCACATTTAGTAGAGCTCCCGTAACAAAATAATTTATTTGAAGTAGATCATACCACCTATCAACATTTGACTTTAGAGCAGTTACAGTTTGGTTTCAGAGGTAAATAATATATAGAAGGCATATCCAATTCTGAATCGATTTTCACTAAATTTGACAGAGACATTTTAATCCTTTACACCAAATAATATTGCTATAGAGTGCATGATATCACTTCGAGAAGGATTATATTAAAAAAATGTATATCGGAACCGAGTTCCACAAAATGGACACGTACGCCCCGAAAGTCACTCCATTTGGCTAATATCAGATTAGCCATTATTTGCACAATAAACCTGAATTCGGATTGAGGATATATATGGGAGCTATATCCAAATCTTAGCCGTTCCCGATAAAATTTGGCAAAAGTATTTCTGAGCTCTATAAGATATATTGTACCAAATATCATTGTTGTCGAATGCATATTACGAATATGAGGGATTTAAAAACCAAGACGGATGAAACATATATATGTGGGAGTTATAACTATGTCTTAATCAATTTTCACCAAATTTGATATACTTGCTTATAGACTGAATTTGGTCAGATTCACCAAAATTCAGGTCATTAGGACTTATATTGGCCATTTGATCCACAATTAACCCGAAATCGGTTGAAGATATAATACATATAAACCTGATCCCATTATCACCAATTTCAATAGGGTTCGTCCTTGGGACAAACCAATATTGTTTGCAAAATTTTATCTTAATCCGATAATAAATGCGACCTGCATTTTGTTCACAAGAATACATAGCCGGACGGACGGACTGAAATGCTGAAATCGACCCAGAAAGTTATTCTATGAATATCCTCAGAAGTAACTATGGGTCTATCTTACTTCGTTCTCCCTGTTACAAACGAATGTACAAAGACATAATACCCTTACCACTATGTGGTGTAGGGTATAAAAACTCACCTTATCAACCAGATTGTGATTCTGAAATTGTTCCATAGTGATTGAAATACTGGCAATGAACAGAAATAATTTTCCAAATAATTGAGAACAAATCAAAAGAAATACCAAGGAAATATTTTTGAAAAATAGACAAAAGAAAAAAACATTAAAAAAGTAAAAACAAATTACCCATTCAATTACTTCCCATAAAATAAAATTAAAAAATTTTAATTTTTTTATAATATGTTTTTTGTTATGTTATCATAATGATTTATTTATGACATAATTCAAAATAGATATTTTAACAATTTAAAAAATAATAATAATAATGATAATAAGAATCAAGAGAGTATACAAATCCAAATATCCACCATTTGTTGGTTTGTTTTGCTTTACAAAATAAAATTAAATTAAATATATTTGCAATATTTACTTAATAACTGTATTAATAGATTGCCATATGAAGGAAAGAAATTATAATAATAATAATAATGGTAGATAGGCAGACATATTTAACAGTAAAATAGATTTTCTGTTTGGTTAGAAAAACAAAAAAAACGACAGTTTTAATAATAATAATTTAAGATTGATTGACTAACAAAATCATCATAGTCATTTTAATTACAATATTAATATTATAGAAAAAATATAGCAAATTTATCTTAGAAGTTTTTATGGACTTAAAATGTACTCCTTATGTTTTAAAAGGGAATTCTCTAAAAAATTTAGTTTTTATGCACTTATTTAAAAAATAGAATTAACTAAATAAAATTATATTGACTTTTGTTTAATTGTAATATAAAAAAATCTACAGCATTCAAATCAAAACAAATTGAATATCATACTAAAATGTAGGAGGAAAAACAACGAATATGATAAAATAGCTTGATGTGTGTGTGCATGGATTTATGTTTGTTCGTAGCTTCAAAAAAGATCCTTATGTAAGGAATCCGACACATTATTTTGTGTATTGCAAAGACTCTAGAATTTAGGGCCTCCTATTTCATTTGGTAGCATTATTTATTCCTTTATTCCTAAAGGCCAGAAAACAATGAAAATCTACAACAATTCTGACACATAATTTAGGATTTTCAAAAACCAAGACGTTTTCATTCGCGCAATATTAAATGTTCATATGAGTGAAATTTCTCACACCCAACAACTTTATCTGGCACCAAATTCCCGCAATCGACATTGAACAAATTTCTAAAGAAAATTAATTTCTGTATGAGCATTTTGCGAATGACGATAAGTAACAGATTGATAAAATACAGGGTGAGATGAAAAAATTGCAACCAACTTCAGACTGCTGTCATTTCTAAGCCACTCGTCCGACAACTTTTAAAATTATTCCAGTGACAGCTCATGATATTGTTTACAAGCGTACAAAAGCATTTAGGTGGAATTCAAGCGTGATAGTGTGATTTCTTTATATTTGGCTGGAAAACCACAAGTGGCTATCGTTCGGGTACTCCAGCTTTTAAATGTGAATAAATCTGGTAGCGTAGCCTGACGTAAGGAAGCGACTTGATCGAAAACCGCGTCGCAGTGGCCGAAAAATGGCACGAATAAGCCAAAATACCGCAGAATAACATTCGGGCAGCGTGTGACGGTTTTATTGGTCGTTTGAGGGCTATAATTCGTGCCAAAAGGAGACCAATTATAACAAATCTAAACTTATTCTAAAATGTTATGCTAATTCCGACATTTGTTGCTTTCATTCAATAAAAATTAAAAAAAAGTAAAAATTATGGCGTTTGACTTTGTTGCAGGTTTTTTGTCTCACCCTGTAAACCCTGGAGTTGAATTGTAACATTTAATATTCTGTCGATTTCAATGAAATTTTTAATTTAATCAAGCTTTATTCAGGGGCCAAATTCTCGCAGCCGACACTTAAAAACATTTCGATCGAAGTGAGTGAAATTTCTGCAGAAATTACCAAATATCTTATGTAGAAATGACCAACTATCAAAATTTTCATTTGCATCAATTATCCTGAGGAACGCCAGTCTGTCTCTCTGCAATAAGGGGGAGTTCTCTGAATATTCAAAAATATCTTAAAATCCGCGTACATACATTTCGACCGAGATTTGTTCAATATCGAATGCGACAATTTTGCCCCTGTAAAAAATGAACGGGGAGAAAAAAAGCTTATGCTCGAAGAAGAAAATTTCTTATATTCACTCTTTTGCAAAAATTCTTTTCTTAAAGCCTGCTTTAAGTTTGTCTAAATAGGCTGAAGGATGTCATCGTTCAGAACTCGTTTTAAAACAATTCCGCAAGGTCGACATAAGACTATTTACCTCGTCCATAAAGATCTACTCCAAGTCAACGATAAAGATTTTTATTGGATCATCTATAAAATACCCCCATTGGGTGAAACAACCACAAAGCCTACGTTTAGCACGTCTACAAAGACACTCGCTTGGCCTTCCTTTAGTCCGTCCGGAAAGATTTCCTTTATTCCATCTAAAACGACACTCTTTAGTCCGTCCAAAAATTTATTGAACCATTCAGCTTCAATAAATTTATCATCTATAAAATACCCCCTTTTAGGTAGGATGCCCACAAAGTCTACATTTAACCCGTCTACGAAGACATTCGCTTAACCTTCCTTTAGTCCGTTCAGAAAGATTTTCTATATATTTCCTATCTATCCAAAAGGTTACTTAGTCCCTTCAAAAAGACTTCCTGTAGTAAGTCTCTTAAAGCTCCGTTTATTGCGTTTATAAAGACACCATTCAGTAAAATTCCTTTTTTTACTTAGGCCAAAAAGACACCCTCTCGTCCATCTATAAAGACTCCCTCTGGCGCGCCATAAAAACATCCTTCGGCTCGTATTAAAAGATTTCCTTTAGTTGGTCCAAAAAGACATCCTTCAAGACATTTTTAATAACTTTCGTAAAGATTTCATTTTATTTTTCCATACTCCCTTTTTCCCCGAAAAGGGCTCCCTTTTATCCGCGCTGGCGGAACTTTAAACTTTTAGCAAGTCTCCTCTATATAGCACATCCAAAAGTCTCTTCAGGCAATCTATATTAACTTCATCCAAATTTCCTACAAGAATTTTTGGCATTCTATTAAGATTTGTTAAAGCGACTACAAAGACCGACTTAAACATTAGCGAGCTATGCCTAAAAATACCTCTTTTTGTAAAGAAGCGACTTGATCGAAATCCGCGTTGCAGTGGCCGACAAATGGCTCGTGAGCTGAACATATTCCATTCGGCAAATATTGAAAAATGAGCTCGGGATAAAGCTATTGAAATTCAAACTTAGATGTTCAAAATTTGCTAAATAAGAAATTCCGAAAAAAATCCGTGCCAATAATTTACGCTGTTTGAAGTTGTTTTCGATGTGAGTATTTTATATGATAATGTATTTCTCTGGGCCACACCTCTAATCGAATATTTGTCCCACAGTCACAGAACATATCCTCCAAAGACTTACAAAACATTTGCTTTGAAAACGGCTAGAATAGTTTTGGAACAATTATGTTTTATTGCTTCAAATTATCTTCATAAGAGAGAGGGCGGTAGTAATTTATCAAAATTTGATAGCAAAAAAATATCTTTAGTAAAATAACTATTCGATAACAGAAAATTAACATTAAGCAATTTTTGTTTTAAAATCCCTATTTTTTTCTCCAAAAAATTGTTTAATGCACACACACAATAGGACCTATTTTTTATGTATTAAAAAAAAACAAGAAAAACATTCAGTTATTGAACCGGGAAAATAGCATGCGATTTTGTTTAGACTATTAAACTAAAAAAAATTTAATTTTTAATAATTTGAGCATATTTATAAAACATTTGAATTTATTATTTTATTTATAATTAAATACAATAATAATAATAAAAATAATTATGACTTTTTTTATTTATTAGACACAAAATGTAAACAAAATTGTTTTAGTAATTATTTTAACTAAAATAATAATAATAAGAATTATTTAATAATTGAAAGAGCAAAAAAATTAAAGGGTAACATACATTCAAAAATGTCTTTAAAATTATAGCATTCTTTATAATTATAATAATATTTAATGAGGGCTTGTTTCATTTATTCTGTTTTATAATCTTAAAAAAAAAAACAAAAACAAATTACTAAAGTTTTGTAAATTTTAGCTTTTGTTTGTTTTCATATTTGTGTGTGTGTGTGTTGTTTTGTTTGTTGGTTTCTGGGTATATAAGTGATACTACTTCTGTTTGTTTTATTTATATTAAATTACATGCTAATTGGTTGTTGCTTTTAAGTTTTGTTTCTTTCGTTTGTTTGCTTTTCTAATTTGTTACAAAAATTTACATTTGCATTGGTTTTGTTGTTAATCGTAATGTTTCGTTTTATGATTTTTACTTTGTTAATATATGTGTTTTTTTTTTTTAATTACTAATCTCCAGATGTTGTTAGCTTTCTTCCCATTTTTTGTTATGTTTTGTTTTAATATTAACAATAATGACTTATGTTATGTGTGGTGGTTTTTTAAATAAACAAAATACAATTGATAATAATAATAATAATAATATTACATATTTAACAAAAAATAAACTTTAATTGTAATTGTTTATTGCTTAAAAGTATTATATTTCTTTAGAGTTTCTTGTTTTACTATTTTTATAATAATCAAAATTAAAAAATTAAAAATCATATTACCTTTCTCACATTTGATCATTTGTTGTGATCTTCATTTCCTTATTCTTCTTCTACTTCTCTTAAATATATAATAATTGTTTTAGTTACATTAGCTTAGTACATAAAACCAATCATAAGCTACTAACTTTTTTTCTCTAGTTTCAAAATTCTCTTTCTTTTATCCTTTTTGTTATTATAAATAAGGGGAAAATATGGAAACCTACGAATTAAATTAAAACTCTTGATGATTGTTGTTGGAGTGATGTAATCAAGTTTTCTTTTGAATTGAAATTTTTGATGTTCTTAGTTTCTTCTTTGCTAGCTATTTGTTTTGACAGCAACGCAAAAGATTTGTGTATTATAAAGTAAATTGTGTTGTAGTTGTTGTTGTGATTTAACGTAGTTTGCCGTTCTAGTTGTTGTTGTTGTCGTTATTATTGTGTAAGCATTCCATCTTTGAGTTTCTTTAGGCCAGCTTGTACATAACGAAACACTTCATAGACACTGCTGTGCAAGGTCAGTGGACCATTTTTATGATCCAAGGCAATGAAGAAGTCTGCAAATAAAATATCAAGGATAAAATTTCGTATTAAATAATTACGATCAATAAAATTTAAATTCCAAGAATGTTTTTTTTTTTTTCAAAGCCTTGATACTTTTATAGGCTTTAAAAAAACATTTGGAAGTCAAAAGATTACTGGCGATGATAAAATAAAACTTGAATTTTACATCTCAAATTCTCCCCAGCTTTGCATAGAATGAATTGATGTCATGCTCAGCAGCAGAATAATCAATTCGCACATTGGGGACATCTCCATTGGGAAATTAAACTTCCTTCAACACGACTTTGAATGTTTCCTTTAGGACCTCCTAACGACCCTCTTTTGAAGTTCATAAAAACATGCTTTTGATCGGTATAAGATTGTCTATAACTTGTCTAACTTAAAATCCGCTCTATTAGGCTTACCAAACCAAATACTCCCTTCAGTGGTCTAAAAGTCCTCCCTTTATGTCGGCTATAAAGACTCCCAATTAGTTCGTCTTATCAACTCTATTGGGGCGAGTTGATGATCTTTTATATACGATGGTATTTGACATAATTTGGGTAATATTGCAATTAGGTACTCTAGAGGGACTTCCTTAGCCCGTCTAAAAGACGTACTTACTTACCAGCTTTAAATACTTCTTTTAGCTCGTCTCGTCTGGCACATCTTTGAATATTCCATTTTAAGTCTTCCTTAAGACCATCTCTCGAAGAACCATAAAAAAGTCTTTACGTTCGATTACCTTTGAATTAATTTTGCTAGTCTATGAATATTCCATTTAGGTCGTCCATAGGACTCTTTTTCTTCAAAAGATCGTCTGCAAAGTTTATATTTAAGTCCTTTTGCGAGACTCCTGTCTATCGTCTATAAAAACACCCTTTAAAATAAAACCAGTAAGGAAAAGTCAAAAGTCGGGCGGGGCCGACTATATGATACCCTACACCACTATGCATATTTAGTAGAGCTCCCGTAACAAAATAATTTATTTGAAGTAGATCATATCACCTATCAACATTTGGCTTAAGAGCAGTTATAGTTTGGCTTCAGAGGGAACTAATATACAGGGTGTGATGAAAAACTGCAAGCAAGACTGATGTCATTTCTAAGCCATTCGTCCTGTGGCTATTAAATTTATTCCAGTGAGAGTTTATTATATTGTTTACAAACGTACAAAAGCATTTTGTTGAGAATTTTCGTGATGGAATTCAAGCGTGATAATGAGATTTCTTTATATTTGGCTGGAAAACCACAAGTGGCTATCGTTAGAGCACTTCAGCATTTAAATGTGATTAAATCTATTGTGTCTCGTAACATCGTCAAAGAAGTGGACGGAAGAAAACAGCAACATGCGCAGAAATGGTTCGAAAAGTAAAGAAGCGACTTGATCGAAACCCGCGTCGCAGTGGCCAAAAAATGACTCGTGAGGTGAACATATCGCAATATTCTATTCGGCAAATATTGAAAAATGAGCTCGGGGTAAAGCCATTGAAATTCTAAAAAGTGCAAGAATTTACACCGCAACAGATAGAAAATAGACTCAAATGTTTACTTTGCAAAGAGGTCAGCTTCGGAGGACTCAAGCGCCGGCCATGGTGATGGTATGGTCTCGTGTGGTCTCTCGCTCGTATTAATCGACCGTAGCATCAGAATAAAAACCCGATAATTATCGCGAAAATATTCTGGAGGGTGTATTAAAGCCTTGGGCATGCAAACATTTTGGCCGCAGATCTTGGACATTCCAAAAGGACTCGACACGCGCCACCCAAGAATGGTTACAAAATGAGGTTCCTCGCTTCATTTCCAGCGCACAATGGCCAGCAAAATCTCCGGATAACAATCCATTGGATTATTGTTTCTGGAGTATTTTGGAAGCAAGGTTGGCACTAAAAAATACCAATGTGTCGAACACCTCAAGCAAGCGCTTCGCCGGGAATGGGCGAAGAGCAACATTCGGGCAGCGTGTGACGGTATCATTGGCCGTTTGAAGGCCATAATTCGTGCCAAAGGTTAGCAATTCAAAAAAATCTAAATTGATTCTAAAATTAGATGCCATTTCCGACATTTTTTGCTTTCATTCAACAAAATTTAAAAAAAAAAATGTAAAAATTATGGCGTTTGACTTTGTTGAAGTTTTTTTTTTTATCTCACCCTGTATAAGGGGCGACCATGGTTGAACTTCGAACCACTTGACATACACACGCTTGACTGCCCTTTTTTTCCCACATCTCACGACCTATCTCTTAAAATGTAATATTTTTACAAGGTCTCTGAACTTTCTTTAGTATCGAGTAAAATTTGCTCTTCTGCTTTTGAAATCATATGAAAATTGAGAATAAATTGATCCTAAAATATATATGCAATTTGGTAATACATACCGGTAAGATTGTTTTGTTTTACTAAACGATCGGCTTGCTCCCATAGCTCGTGACTATTGGCTAGGTAATGGAAATATTGATTTTGCTGTTGTAAAGCTGAGTGTATATCTTGAGGCACAATTTTACCAGGCGGTGTATTCGAACCAGAACCCTAAAAGCAAACATTACATTTGAGTATGAGGTTTTGAAGAAGAATCCGACAAACAACTCACCTGTGAACATACCGAATTCGAAGGAGACATCGATGATGAAGTATTACCATTGATAATATCACCTTTACCGGATTTAAGGAAGTCCATGCATATTGTATTGACTTGGCGAAAGGAAATTCTTTTGAGTTTAAACAACTTGAGGGATATTAAGGATTGGCAGCGGAGACTATAACAGAAAGGAAGAAATCAAATAAAGACCCACAAAAATATAAATTGTTTTGCCATATTTTTACCTTAATACAGCATATTTATTAAGGGTACTAGTTTGATCGGCAGATGACACTTGTTGCAACTGGCGAAATTTTGTAGTAATATATCTGCAAAGAAACATTGAGAGAAGAATACAAATAAGTAAAATTACAATTCCCTTAAATGTTTTTCGAAAAGGAAATCTATGCACTTTACTCACTTAATCAAAACCAAGGTGTCCTTGTACATAGTCCAAGCTGGATCTTCAGTACGACTTTGTTGTTCCATAGCAGCTCCGGACAACAGAAAATAGACAACAGCCTCTAAATATAATGCCACCTGATTGAGGATGTTTTGTTCGCGATCGGCAGCATGTTTTCTTTGTATAGCCTCCTGCAGGAATGTGCCTTCCTTGGTTATGCTGGAAAAAATAACATTTTATTAACAAAATGTATTCTCTGCTTAAAACAAACTAAAGGCAAGATAAGAGGTCAAATAGGATGTGAAATGAAAATGACTAAAAAAATGTGAAACTTTTTGGTTTGGATTACTTTGGTGAAGAATTTTGAAATTTGGCCAAAACGGATGGATTATCGGTGGTGGTGTTGTTGTTGTTTTTGGTGGAGTAGGTAGTGGAGTTCGAATATTCAAGAAATGATTCCGCAACAAACCTGAATTCATCGTGTAGTGCTTCCTCGTCCCGCTCGAAATACGAACGGTATATGACTTTGGGTGTTGTTGCTGTGCTTGGTGGATCAATGTTGCCATCAGGTGTTGTTGATGATACCATTGTTGGGGTAGTAGTATTGGAATCTGATGCCGACATTGCTTTTGCATTAGAAGTTCCTGACACAGCCGGTTCTGCGGTTGGGTGTGTTGTGTTTAATCCAACATTGGCTGGCGGTGGCATAATTGATGTAGTAGTTAATGACGACGTGGCCATTGTTGTTAAATTGCTAATCTGTAAATGCGCGGGACTGGCAGTGTTTGTAACAGTAGTACTGGTGTTCTCGGGGAGAGCATTATGATCCATACTGCTCTTATCAATGTTGTTGCCATACGATTTATCGGACTGTTGCTCTGGCTTTTCTACTTGTAGTTGCGGATGTGATTTTTCCGATTCTAACCGCTCATGGTTAGTGGGTGGAAACTGCGATAAAGGGAAATTATTTTTTGAATAATTAAAAATGGTTTAGTTATAATTTGATACATACCTGCATTTGCGTACTATTATCTATCCGCTCAGCATCCAGAGTATCTTTTGTTGCGGGTTTTAGGGAATCTATCATCACATCTTTTGCTTTTTCTAACACATCGCCAGCGTCATTTGTCATTAACTTTTTATCCTTTTCATTTACGCCAGCACCAACACTGCCAAACATATTTGTGACAGCCGCATTCGCATTCGCATCCTTGTCTTTGTTGTCTTTCTCCTTTTCTTTATCCTTGTCCCTATCCCTCTCCTTTTCCTTTTTTCGCTTCTTTTCCTTGTAAGGACTTGAACTCGAACTTGAACTACGCTTACGTTTTGGTTTAGCCTCGAGTAACTGCTGCATTGTGTCAGTAGTATTTGGTGAACAAATTGTCGAAGATTTTTCGGACATTTTGTCCAAATCACTGGGTTTGAAGTCCTGTTTGAGCATTAAGAGTTCTTGTTTGATCACCGCTGGATCTGTAGATGCAGCATCAGCTTTGAATTTAGTCTCCGAATAATCCATGGCATCGGGCTCATGTTTTATGATTTGTTCGTGTTTAACAATCGGACCCAATTTGCCGCCACAGTTACTAGGCGAAGCATAGCCCCTAGCTATTGCAGTCACTGAACTGTAACCATTGGGTGGACCAGGAGGTAGTAGATGGGAACCAAGGTCCTTGGGTGTTGAACCACCGCCACATATACTGCCATCTGTTGAACGACTGCTCAAACGACCGGGATTAATAACGCCCATATCTTTGGCAATGTCATGCAAACTTTCTCGAGAATGGGAAAGTTCTCTTTCGGCTGTAATTGAGGCTCCGGCCTGCAATGGAGTACGATTGCCAGTGCTACGAGGTGTAACACTCCCGCTGCCGCCTGACTTCAAACGCATTTGCGTGTTGCACGAATGCATATCCGCATTGAGTATAGTCTCGTGATCATAAATGGGAGTGCGTCCAGCGCTAGCGGGTGTTAAATAGGGTTGGCTATTTGTTGCCGCATCACGACCGTATAAACGATAAGTATTTGAATGCCATTCTGCGGGTATAGGTAACAAACGAGAGAGATCAATTTTGCATATAAGCGAAGTTGGCAAACGTGATGATGATGGAGGCGGTACTATTCCTGCTGTACCCGCTGCCGCTGTTGCTGGAGAGGCCGAAGGCGTGGGATTAGTTGTAATAGATGACGCATTAACCGCGGCGGCTCCTATAGGAGGTGTAGGTGTGGGCGTCCTTGTGGTGGGCGGAGTTCGTGTTGGCGTCCGCGTTGGTGTCTTTATACGCTGTTGTAGTTTTCGTTCAGCACTTGTGGTCACACGATCGAAAGGAACACGGTCGGGCGTTCGATGCGACGCCGTACCCATTAAACAGCCTGCAGTTAAAACCTGAGTAGCCAATGGTGGCAAAGATCTGGGCGATCTCAATTGGCCGCCCGGTGTGAGACGAGGTGATTGTGCTGTGGGCGTGTGACCTGCTGCTGCCGCTAGATTTTCCTGTGAGCCTCTTAGGGCGGGAGAAATGTGTTTCTGAATTTGCTGTTGTTGCTGCTGTTCTTCCGATTGGTCTACAATAAGGACTTGACCCTGCTTTTTAGCTCCGCCTTCATTGGAAGTTTTAAAGATTCGGGTCAGGGTGCTGATCTTATTTTTATCACTTTTGGGTTTATCACGTTTGAGTTTCTAAAGAGACGAGAAGCAAAGAAAAACGATTAATATAAGTTCATAATGGTAATGGAAAAAACTATGCGACCGTTGCTTACCTTTTCCTTCCTAGCCACCCCTAAGTCCGAGTCGGAATTATCCTCTGCGCTGGACTCAGAAGAAAAGGCACTAGAACATGGTGTTTGTTTACGGCTGCGGTTGGACAAAGCACTTGAAACTTTATAAGGTGATTGTTGGTTCACAGAACGTTGCGAGGAGCCTCCACTGCCCGTACCGGCGGCACCGTTACTAGCTACTGCTGCAGCTCCTATCGACTGGGTTGCCGCCGTAGTACCTGCTGCCGTTTGTTGGTTTGCAAAAATTGCAGGTGGTAGGAAATCTTCTGCCGACGATTCCGATGAAGACGAGGATGGTGAGGACAAACATATATTATTGAGCTTCGTAGAAGATGCAGTTGATAAGTCTTCCAGAGATGATTTACGTGTATTGAGCTTCTTAACAATCCGTTTTGGGTGTGCAGAAGATGGCACTGCTGCCGTCACCGCTTTGGTGGATGTTAAATCTCCGGGCTTTTGCAAAGCCTTTGTGGCCGTATTCTCATCGTCGTCGTCGTCCGAAGTCAAAGAGGGATAAGCATCTGATTGCGTGGGCTTTTTGCTTGGTTCTTCTATTTCTGAATCGGAAGATGAACACGAAGATTTTGAGTTTGAAAATGACGAGGAGTCCGAAGATGAACTGGAATCGTCACTAGTGGAAGTCTTTAATGCAGTCTCTTTAATCTGTGTCTTTACAATAACCGGTGGAGGCGGCGTAGCTTTCAATGCAACTGGTGAGGTTGTAGGCAGTTGCTGCTTAATTGGCGTTGTTGTTATTGGAGGTACTGCCATGGCTTCTTGCAGAGCTAATGAATTTGTGGAACTTAGTCTTGACATTCTTCTTCGTGCTGTTGCTGTGGCCGAATCCTTGCTGGTGGGCGTTGTTGTTGGCGCAGTTGGTGGTGGTTTTTTGTTGATATCTTTTTTGGCGGTTAAAGTTGGTCCCTTGGTGGCAGTTACTACAACAACAGGAGGGCCTGTGGCCGCAGTTGTACTCGAGTTGCCACTGCTTGGTGTAGCGGTTTTACGCGGTCGTCCACGGCCCTTCTTTGTACCACCGGGAGTTGTCATGGTTTTGGCTACCGCTCCACTTGGCGGTGATGTCAAACGCTGCTTGTTTGCATTGTCAGACTCTTCATCGCTGGTATCAGGGGCCAATAAAGCATTTTGCTGCTGCTTCAGTTTTTTGCGAGGTTTTTTCGCCCTTGTCGGCGTAGGTGGTATGGGTGCAATGGGTGCTGTCCCTCTGCCATTGCTGCCAGAGGAAAGTGGTCCCAATGGTATCATTGTTACTGTATTGGGCATTTGGGCTTTTTGCATTATGGGTGGCGAGCGCGGTAAAGCCGTAATTGCCGCTGGAACACCGGGTATTTGCAGTGTACCTCCTGGTCCTCGCACCGGCAAACGCTCTCTGGAACCCTCATCATTCGAGTTGCTGTCGGATGATAGAGTACTAATGGGATTCAAGACATCATATGGCGTCACGGTAGTATGACCTCCTGCTATGACCATTGTTTCATGTTTTATTTGATTTGAGTTCATACTTAAAAAGTCTGACACCTGCTGTTGACTGGAAGTTCCGCCCAACGATGTAGATGACTCTTTTTTGATGTCAGTCAATATGGGCGACAATGGCGTGACCAAAAGACTTGACGTTTTTCTTGTAGGAAAAGCTGCAGTTGCTCCAGCCAAGTCCGGATGCTGGAATGTCTCATTTTTGCCACCATCCTTTTTATTTCTTGATCTTCTTGATGATCGGTCTATGTCTTTGTTGACGTTGTCATTTCCGTTGTCATCGTCGTCCTCATCATCATCGTCGAGCATAGACTCGTTCTTTATGTTTGTTAACTGTTCGGGAATAATTTGAGCACCACCCTTTAGGGTAATGATTTTAGCCACATTCATGGGATTTACAGAATTTGCCACTGAACCCGCCGAAGGTGATACTACATCTTGCGTAGGCGTCTGATGCTGAGGTGCCTTATTAAAATAACGACTCAGCTGCCATTTAGTAGTATTTGGTGAGGGTGTTTTGTTCGATGACGATGAAGACGAACCGCCGGAGGGCGGAGCCGATGAACCCAATCCGGAGGAACTACTACCGCTACTGGCTGTGCAACCTGGTCCAATTTTCTTTTTCGATGCCAAAGAACTTGACATCTGTTGCTGGTGTTGCTGTAAATGATGTTGGGTCGCTGCGGGAATAATGCTCTGATTTGTTTCACTTTTAGAAGATTCACTGCCAGACTCACTGGAATCGGATTGAGAACTGTCACTAGAGTTCACAGCTGAGTGTGAGGAGAGCTTCACACGATCATCATCGGATTCTGATAGCTCCAAATCATTCTCCAATGTATTATTACGATTTTCTATAGGTGGGGGTGTTGGCTTCTCAGACTTGAAGGGCTTCAGGAAACCAGTATCCTTAGTTCGACCCATTAAAGGTGATAGTGGCACTGTAGGTGATGATGTTATGGCAGCATTATGCATTGACGAATATGACGAAGAAGTCAGCGACAGTCCAGTGGAGGCGGAGGTAGATGTCATATTATTAATGGCTGAGGCTGAAGAGGCATTGGCGGCAGGTGGTGGTGCTATATAGGTGCTGGAGGTTGTGGAAGAAGAGTACGAGGATGACGATGATGATAAATTATTGGAGGCAGATTGTGTAGAAGGCATCTGTGTTGCTGCTGCTGATAGGGGAGGCACATATCGCGGTGCTGGCATATCGTTATGTGGCGGCGACGAATCCAATGGCTCAATCATACTATTCGTTTTTTCCGATATATCAAAGCTATATTTGTGCTTATTCGGCTCATTGAGATTATAGTTTTCCATTAGAGTATTGTGCGGTGTGGCATCGATGCCAGTCAGCATTTTAGGAGGACGAAATGCTGTTGTTACTTGATTAAGAATTTCTTTGATATCATTTTCCTGAAATTGTACAAATACAAATTAAATTAAATATTAGCTTATGTGTTGGGCAAAAGTTAGTAGATGACCTAAAGCAATTTGCGGAAAACAAATTAAATACTGACAACAAAAATTTGTTATTTGACCATGTAGGTGTGTACGTGATGCGACATTAGGTATTAGTTATGCCATTTCCAAACAAACTTCACCTTGGCATTATCAAGCAGAACTTTTCAGATCTTCGGAATGGCATGCAAACACTGGGATATATAATAATCAGGAAATTATTCAGTAATGAATGCTTACCTCAGTATGAAATGCTGGTTTTTGGCGTTGTTTTGGTATTGAAGGTTGCGAGAAACGGCCATTGTGCGTCGTTGATGATGATGCCGATGGCGGTCCCAGATATGATTTTTCACTTGCAGACGATGATGATGACGTTTGACGTCCATTTGGCATATGTGTTGAGGAAGGAGGCAACAAGGAACCTGGTGGACCTTTGGGTGGTGCCATGCCACTACTTAAACGATTCACCGATTGCCCTGGATAGCCACCACGTCCATTGTAAGGTGGTTTATTATCAGCCTGTTTGACATAAGGCGCTTGTCTTAATTGCTGTTGATGTTGTTGATAGTGATGTGACGGCGGTGGTTGTTGTGATTGTGGCGGAGGTGGAGGCTGCAAACGCGATGATGACGATGAGGAGGACGACATTGGCGATATTAGCGACGACGATGCTGGACTTGTGGGCACAATGCCAGGCAGTACGGCATTAGGGGGCATTTGCCGGTGTCCTGAATTCGAAATGCCCACCGTATAAAGATTAATAAAATCTTTGACTTTGGAGTAGTCACCCAATTTGGCAGCAATGTCATCATCATCCTCGGATGGATTTACGCGACGAGGCTCAGAGAATAATGCTACCTCGCGATTTGACGATGATGATGCTTGTACTTGCTGCCTTTCCGATTTTTCACGTTCTCTTCGCACTTTTCGTTCATATTCATAGTCATCCATGCTAGAAGAAAGTTCAAAAAAAAAAAAACAAAAAAGAGAAAGTTAATAACAATTAAAGATCAACGAAACAACATGAAAAAAACACACATTCACACATAAACAATTTGCAACAATTTCACAAAATATTCTTGCGACAAAAAAATATAATAGAATCACATTTATTTTTTAATTTATACCTTATACGATCTTAACTTAATTTTATTGGTGGGACATTCATACTACGGCAGCACAGCGAAAGACTCCCTTGGGAATCTAACATACTAAATAGGGGTGGGTTTGTCGTACTATGAACTCTTCGTGTATTACCTGCATCAATGGTTTTCTCAAAATTTTCTCAAGATACAAGTTTAAAAGCGTTCAGCATTCGAAGAATTGCAAGCTGCTTATTTTAAAGTTTGCTTGTAGAAGTTAATAGAATTGTTATTTTTTTGTTAACAAAACATTGTTAGTTATATGATAAAACACTATCGCTTTCTGCCATTTTAGATTTATCGCGATTTCAACAAAAGAAGATGCATCCAAAAAATTCTATAACAATGATTGATAGAAAAAAACATATGTTCGTGCTATTTCATGTAAACAACCCATCGTTACCTGTCATTCACAGTGGTTGAGTAAGTGTGGTTAGGACACTATTGTGATTTATTTAATTCCAGCAGGGTTGTATTTGCTATACATCGCTTGACATGTTAAACTAATTTGGAAGATCACAATGGAAGATATTACAATAATTTTCTTTTTGATTAACTTTTTTTGTGCAGAATGGAACAAAACAAAAAAATGTGAAGAGTTGAATGTGTGTGCATGCCTGGATGCAAGCAGTAACTTGTTAGGGTGGTTCATAAGTAAATGCTTTGGAAATTATTTTATTTAACAGAATAATGAAATATTTTGTAGAAACCTAAATTTTCGATTGTTTTCGGATTAAATTTGGCCTTCTGCTTAAATTAATTATACATAAGAAAGATACTCTAGTCTATAGCATTGAAGCAAATTTCATAGGCGGATGTAGTCCGACATCGGATAAAAACCTAAGCTAAACAAGAGTATTAAGGTGGGAGTACATAAAACACTTTGTTGACTGGCTTAAGTCATCGACTGGCTTCTTCGTAGAGGAACAAAAGAGTTTTAGGTTGACTTAGTTCGATTTTGGGCCTATGCTCCTTTGTTCTATTCCGAAGAAGCCAGTCAACAAGATCGTTTTATGTATACTCACCATTATATTTTATTATTTTCCCATTAGCGTAACTATAGAACATTAATGGGATGTTCTCCATGGAATGTTTTCCTTGGAATTCCGATTCCTATAAAAACAATAGGTTATAGGAAATGTCATGGTACAATGAAGAGAAGGTAGGTCAACTTTGAAAAAATTGCAAGTATAGAGGTCTACCTGTTTGGCTTGTAATGTAAAAAAGCAAACAACTTGTTGCATTGATTTTGAATAAATAATTTAAAACCGCGAAAACTGAATGATAGTTCAAAATTTCTTATCAAAATCATATTCTATATATCTCTTATGGTTTATTTCGCGACAAAAACTGTAGATTTTGTCGATGCATATGTTGCAATAAGCATTTTGAAAAGACCCGAATTTGAATATTTTCTGAACAATTTTTTATTATTGAAAAGAATACGCACACATAAACAAATGAAGTTGACATATTAAGCCAGAAAAATAAAAAAAATGAAATCATATGGTAGTTCTGCCCTACCTTGAATTCATTGTACCATGGGAAATGCCTTATATATATATATATATATATATATATATATATATATATATATATATATATATATATTTATATAATTATAAAGGTCAAGTTCGAAGATGGGCTATATCGGTCCACTATATCGTATAGCCCTAATATAACGGTACCCCGATATTCGGTATTTTGATAATTTTAACCACATTTTTCAATGTTATTGCCTAAAATTCTACACAAAGAGTTCCCTGTGAGTACAATTTTTTTAAGGGTTTGTCATAATTTTTTGAATTTTTCACACATTTTTTCTAGGATTGATTTTGAAAAATCCCTTTTTAACTATTTTCACCTTTAAACGGTAAAATGTTTTTCATTCTTTGTTTTGTTATTATTTTTAAATTCATCTAAGAAACTACATCACAAAATGCGAATTTAAAAGCATATCTTAATTGTTTTGTTTGTGTAAATGCATTTACACAAAATATTTTTTTAAAGAAAAAATGCAAAATGTTCTTTTTGACAAACAGATCAGATCGTCCACCTTATTTATGTTTAATCAGCTGTTTCTCTATTGAGACGTCAATACTAGCAAGCATTCACAATAGTGTGATATTACTGTTTATCTGATTAAACTTTTATTGTTGTGAATTATTTCATCAAAAACAATGATAATACCTATATAGTTGTTGGTAATGATTCTTTCAAGACAACACATGCAATCTTTTATAGACAACGGGGTCAGGGTTGCGGTTAACAATGATTCGCTATAACAACAAATACACATCAAAATACAACTCTATTATATATATATATATATAGAGAGAGAGAGAGAGAGGAGAAAACACAGTTTGACAAAAAGAGAGATAGAGAGTGAGAGTAAACAAATTGTGTTCGACCGTAAACGGTGGGCAAAAGCAAGCAAGTGCAAATATAATTAAGGGAAGAGCTTATGAAAATGAAATTATTAAAACTGATGCCCGTAAATAAAAGCACATTTAATTAAAAAACCACAACAACACACGCAAAGTGATACCAGAATTTGTTAATCTAATATAACAACAACAACATATACATTTGGGTACAAAGAAATATCCAAGAATTGCAACAAACATTCCAAAGTGTGAGACAAGGTGAACAATTGATTTGTTGTTGTCGGTTTAATTTATTCACACCTCATCTCACTTGCTTCGGACAAAGGGACATAACAGACAAAACAAAACATAGATAAAAATAAATACGTAACTTACTTGCAAATAAATATTCAAAATAATTGACAATATTTTTTTCTGTCTGTCCACACAGAAAACCTTTTTATATTGGTTAGGCGCTACTGCGGCAGCTGCTGATCTCTGTGTGTGTGTTTTGTTCTTGTTGTTCGTAAAGGTTTGAAATAATTTAATTCCGTTGTTGATTGATTAATTGTTTTTGTAGCCACAATTAAATTGTATTATGCGTGGGGGAACAACAACAAAATATAACATTCTCCACACGAGGAGAGAGAGAGAGAGGTATGTGTGTTAAAAGAGAGAGAGATAGTGAAAGAAAAGTGTATATTAAGGGAAAACGTGGCTAAACAAATAACAAAATTCAGGGGATCCCCTCTCTCTAAATGAGTAATCCTTTGGTATGCGTTGTGTATTTGACTTTAAAACATTAAATGTGTCTTGTTCTTTCGATTTATAACAAATAGGGAATTGTATTCCTTGTCTTGTTGCCGTCTATCGTTGTAGGTAATATTTCTTGTTTTCCAAAAAATGTCTTTGTTTTGGAAATAAATCTTGCGAGATTTTCACATTTCTTGTGGGATCTCTCAATTTGTTAGACATTATTGTGAATGGTAGGTTTTCTTTTGTTGCTTGGGTAAATATTGCAGGTTTTACTTGTTGTTGTTTTATATTGCTTTAAAGATAATTTTCTTTGCGATTTTATAATTCACAATATATAGGTAGGTATTTTTTTTAGAAAAGGCATTGACATTTTGTTTGTGTGTTTTTTTTCGTGTGATTTGTATAAAAAACTATTTTTCATTATTGCTGTTAAACCTGAAAATAAGCAAAGAAGAAGTTAAAGAATAATTAGCAAAGCTTTAAAATTTTTATTATTAAATAAAAAACGAACAAGCAAAACAAAATTTATGAATCTTATTTGAATTGAAATTATATTTATCTTCGATTTCAGTCACAATAATACAATTCGCTATTTAATTCGATGATCAGCTGGTCTTGATGTCTTATATGTCTTACTGGATGACCAGCTGTTTTCCTCTTAACTAGCTAAGTGCATCTTTATTGTGAATTATTCGTATGAAAAAACAGGGTGTGTTGAAAAAACTGCAACTAATTTCAGACTGCTGTCATTTCTATGCCACTCGTCCGACAGCTGTTAAAATTATTCCAGTTACAGCTCATTATATTGTTTAGAAGCGTACAAAAGCATTTTCCAGAAAAAAAGTTATTCGTGATGGAATTCAAGCGTTATAGTGTGATTTCTTTATATATGGCTGGAAAACCACAAGTGGCTATCGTTAGAGCACTCCAGCATTTAAATGTGAATTAATCTTTTATCGTACTATCGCTCGTTACCGTGATGCTGGTAGCGTAGCCCGACGTCAAGGAAGTGGACGGAAGAAAACAGCAACATTAATAGAAATGGTTCGAAAAGTAAAGAAGAGGCTTAATCGAAACCCGCGTCGTAGTGGCCGAAAAATGGCTCGTGAGCTGCAATTTCCAGCAATATTCCATTCCATTGAAAATGAACTTGGAATGAAAGCCATTGAAATTCCAAAAATTGCAAGAACTTACACCGCAACAGAAAGAAAATAGACTTAAAAGAGCTAAAGAGTTGCTTCGCTTGGGCGAAAGTGGTGAACTGCCGAATTTGGTTTTCCCCGATGAGAAAACCTTCGTTGTCCAGCAGTTAGTAAACAATCAAAGTGATCGTGTTTACTTGCCAAAGAGGTCAAAACATTATTAAAAACATTGATCCTCCGAGCAGGATCCAGAATAGAACTGACAATCGAAGAGGGAGATTGGACTCTATTCTAATTTACATTGATCCTTCAAGCTGGATCTAGAATTGAAACTACATCCAAAGAATATGGTTGTCCTTTATTTTTCCCTTTCTACATTGATGCTTCGAGACGGATCGAGAATGGAATCTACAGCCAAGCGTCGCGGTTGTATTTCTTTCTCAATAGAAAATAGAATTGACAATCGAAGAGGGAGATTGGATTCTATTCTCATTAACATTGGTCTTTCGAGCCGGATAAAGAATTGAATCAACAACCAAATCATTC